TATATATATATATATATATAGTCTAGCGTGTAGGAATAATACGAAAATATAAGAATAGAAAAAATAAAAATGGTACTTGTCAATTAATCCTTGATAAGCAATTGTAACTACAAATGAAATAGGAAGTTAACGTGATTTAAACTAAATATATAAATAGTTGAGTCTTTTAGTTGACAGAACGACTTAACTCCAATTTCAACATTTTTAGGTGAAGCGATATTAATGATATTTCTAGTTATAAAATTTTTAATATCTGTACGGAGAGTGAGTATGTTGATCCCAGAGTAGGTGATTGCAGTGTGGAAATAAATAAATGCGAATATAGTTATAAATTTTCTTCTTATTAATATCACTAAAAGTAATAATAAAAAAATATTTAAATTAGAGTTAGTCATTTTGTCAACTTAAAGACTCATTTCTTGTTAAATGGTTTCTTTATTTGACATCTTTATGGTTTTATGTGTCATTATTCGTCATTACGTTTTCTTAAAACTAAATTAATTTATATTTATACTAGAATCGACTTATATTAATTTAGTTAAACATTCGATACAACTTAACATTTTTATTACAGTTAATCACTAGTGGATCCAGGTTTTAATATTTTTTTTGGGGGGGGGGGCAAAAGCTTTTTTTTAATAAAAATAACGATAATTTCTTTGGAAAAAAAGAAAGGACCTATTTACCTATATGAAATGGTGTTTAATTGATTCCTAAAGTCCTTTTAAATGTAATTACACGAACAATGATACTTTAAGAGATGATTTTTTTATAATTTTTTCCATAAAACATGGTTACATTTTACCATTTTGGAGGGGGCTTTAGCCCAGTTAGTGCATTAGATAATTATGCACGTATTTGTTACTTATCTCTTTAATTTTGATTTTTGTAAAAACGCTTAGGAATTATGAAAAAAAAACATAATAATTTTAGTTAATATATTGTTTTAGCTCTTAGAAGTTAGTAAATAAAAAAAAAAAAATTTTTTGTAAATATCTCCTTCGCCTTTTAGTCTATACAGGACTTTTTTGGACACCGGGGATATAGCGGGGGATTAATGCCCCCAGAGTGTTAAGTCCCCTTCTCCTGTGCAACAGAACGCGAACTCATAATTATTTTATCATAAAAACTTCGGTTTATCAGATTGCTGAGCAACGCATGTTTTGCTCATGCGTTGGCTCGCTAAAAAATAAATAATAAAATATATTTCTTAATAAAAAAAATAAAATATATAGGTATATTTAAACTGTACGGTAAAATATTGTCAAGTATTGCCTTACAATTTAAAAATCGTCTTAAATCGTTCGTGTAATCTATTTTATGAAGCATTTAAAAATGTTTCTTCAATTTTTCAGTGAATGAATTAATATAAATTTAAAGATCCTACATAATTTTATTTTTGTTATTTTAAATGATAGTTTTTCATCTGATATGAGATATTTCGATTCACAGTAACGTTTTAGCCTTGGTGAACACCAGATAGCTTGTCTTGTTTGTAAGGAATACGTTGCATAAATTATCCAAAACAATCAAACCCTGTAAATAGTTTTGTGGTTTAGTCATATCTACGCCGTAAAGTACTTTAGACAAGAGATGGTTGTCCTTACTTCATCAAAAGCATTTTAGTTTAGTGGCTGGTGAAGATTTGAATATACTGAAAAACTTGACTAAATTATTAAATCATATAATAAATAATCAGTTTATACCTGTTCATCATTTCAGTGTTAATGCTTCTTTCATGTCATTCTATTCAATGCTATCTCGACAATGATGAGTAATAACTGTTTAATGACAGGTAATATTTATTCTTTGAAACCTACGGACTAAATAGTTGCTATTCTTATCTTTCTGTTTAACATCGATGATTCAAATCTAATAATTTAGTCAAATGAAATGTTACAGTCATCGATAAAAATATTCTAATATAAATTAAGATGTTAAAGCTTTTGAAACTGTTTTTGAAATGGAAATGAATCACTTTTAATTTTTCAAACATGCATTTGATTCGCTTCCTGCCAAAAAAGAAGTATTTTGACTATCAATAATTTTTTTTCTAAAAATCTTTTTTCTATTCCTAATCGCGAAGAAAAAATTGTTTTTATTTGTGAATTGTTATTTCTATTTAAATTTCTGTCTGCTTTAATTTTGATTCCCTGATAATCTAATAATTAAGTAATCATCTTATAATCATCCTCATGTAAGACCCTTTGTATATACGCTTCATGGATATATACTTTTATAGGTCATAAACATATAGATGAACATGATAAGTTAGCAACATTACTCCGATAACCTTTCTATCATAAAGTAAAATTTTTTTTGTTTTTATGAGAGGTGAAAACAAATATTTGAAAAAAAAATCCTATCCTTAGGATATTCTCTCATTTATTATAAAACGATGAGAAGGAAAGGATATTTTATATGTATTAACACTTTTTCTGTCAATTCAATTCAATTTATGGTGTGCTGAATTGTTGTTAAATTTTAACTGATACAATTATTCATTATTATTTATTAGTCTTTAAACTTCAAATAAATTATCAACAAAAAGCAATTATTTCGAGAGCTTCTTACATTACTCCTTGATATATAAATTAGCTTTGTGTATCTTGAGGTGTTATAAAGATAATGAATATGAAGAGATTTGTTTAATATTTAACTAATTAATTAAGGAGCATATTTTAAAAATTAAAAAAAGAAGGATTTTTTAGACCATAAGTTACAACATGGCTTATACGGATTTATGAATTTTGAACGGTATTTAAGTGAAAATCCAAAGACGTTTTATTTATATTAATTAAAGAGATAAAAATCATTTAAAAAATCTTTGATAATAATATATTTTTTCTACATATAAAACAACTAATAGATACAAATTATGTTGCCTTTAATTTAAAACCAAGTAGAGTTCGAAAAAGTCCTTGTTTTGTATGGGCTGCGTACCAAGTTGTATTCCACTGTAGCTAATAATATTCAGTTAATACCAACCTCCTGGCCAGTTTGGAATATTTGAATTATTCCTCGGTTGCCAATTCGAGTACCCTGAAGGATTCCACCTTGGTGGCCAATTTGGAAACGGCGAATTAGCTGTTGAGTTCCATCTTGGTGGCCAATTTGCAAAACGTGTATTCGCAGTTGTGTTCCATCGTGGTAGCCAGTTCGGGTACCCTGACGGGCCCCACCTTGATGGAAAACTATTGGACGGTGGATATCCAGTTGAGTTCCATCGCTGTGGCCATGCTCTGTTAGAGATCGGTGAATACCCAGATCGATTCCATCGTGGTGGCCAATTGGGGTATGATGAGTTCCCATTAAGATTTAACCACGGTTTCCAGTTAGTGTACGGTGGGTAACCGGTTGAATTCCATCGCTGGGTCCAATTTTTGTATGAAGGATACCCGGTGGTGTTCTGCCACCATGGAGGTCTCTGGATGGAAATGCCAGTTGAGTTCTGCCACCATGGAGGTCTGTGGATGGGAAATCCAGTTACGTTCTGCAACCAAGGAGATCTCTCCCTCCACCAATATGGTTTATTTGCAGCGAACTCTGTTGTGTTCCAGCGTGGTTCTATTGAGAATCCAACGACGAGGAATGCCGACGAAGCGACGAAGACAATAAGAACGGAAAACACTCTCATCTCACTATGATGGACTGAGAAGGAGCTTGCTTTCTGACAAAATATATTGCCGCTGTTATCATTAAAAACACAAATTGCAATTTCGTTCAGTAAATTTACGGTGTTTTTCAGGGTTACCTAACAGTTGCTGTGAATCACTAATGTGGCTTACTGCTTCCCAAATATTTGGTTGTCAACAATGATTTCATGGTAATATTCGTAGAACGAGCATAATACATTTGAGGTAATGCAGTTACGTAAGAGATTCAGTTGGTGCTTTCATAAAATATTTATTCATTTAATGTTTTAACTATTCGAAAAGCTGCATTATTTCAACAGTTACCAGTTATAAATATCAAATAACTTGTATCACTTAGAACATTATATTCTACAGTGATTTTTACTGAATCAAATTTCAAAAGCTCTAATTTCCTGTTTGATCAGGTTTCGAACAAATTATTCTAGTACTCGTTTGCGGTTGTTTACTTAGCGATAACGTGAGCTGCTTGTTGTACAAATGTTGTACAAAAGAACAATTCTTAATATTAAGATGAAATATTTTTGTAAACGATCTATTTAAACCACAATGTTCGTAACTTTTCGAAATTTAACTTATCTTACGAGTCGAGCCGTATTATAAATCTGTTCAATTAACAGTGAATATGGAAATGAAGGAAAAAATAGTATATATAAAATAAATTCATGAATATTTCATTTAATAATTTCATTAAATAATCAATAAGTTCTTGGATGAAAACCCTTATGTGTTAATGTTAAGCCAGGTCTGTTAAAGCATAAAATGATTAGTAAAGGCTACATGACCTCATCAACATCTGAGAGAAATAAGCTTAAAAGTTTTTTGTTTTTCCTCCCGAATATATACGTAAATACAGATGAACTAGGTAAAACATGTACTAATATTTTTTATTATTCTATTACGGGCAGTTCATATATTAAAAAAAAAAAATCAGTTGAAAAATTTGTTTATAATATACTGACTCAAAATTGCATGTCTATATTATAGAAGAAAATATAATAATAAAAAAAAAAGATAAACCGTACCACTATAAAACGAAGAAGATTCTGGATTCAAAAATTTGTTGAGAAGTCTATGCCTATGGCTGTTCAAGATGGAGATGTACAACCGTCCACGCTCAACCATCCGATTTTTTCCTAATCACGGATAACCACCTTATAGGACGATGTGTCTCATGCCTTATGTTTCACAATAAATAATTATTTGCTAGATTCGAACCCAGGCAAGAAAACATAGAAGCACTGTTGTCTTACTTATTCAGCTACTCCGTTCCCTTTTAGAATTAAAGTAACTAAGGAGAGAAAAAATTTCTCTTTAAAGAAAATAATTTTAATAAATAATAATAGT